TTATCGATTCTCGAGCGTAGTTAATCTGAAATAAAAATAGTGATATCTTGAACTAAAAAGACAACAAACTAAAAACATATTTTCTTTTTGTTTTGAAATTGAAATTACATGCATTGTGAAATCTCATGCTACATTTAGGCCAAACAAGGTGTCGGTACTGTTTTACAATTTAAATCTCTTTAGGGCCCTTCATTGAAGCGGACCTTTCTGTCAACCTTTCAGTGATTATTTGTGTCATGCCATTGACACTTATCAAAACAATAATGTACGTATGTCACTGAATTGAAAACTAACGCGTCTCGTTTCAATTTTTCTTATATACTTTGAATTAGGTATATAAGTGATGATTATACGGTGTGTTTATTATTAGTTATTTCTAGTTTTTTGTTCTCTGCTACGCGTACGAAGATTTTAGAACTATAAATAAATATAAGGAGAGATAGAGTGTTTCGTTTAGATCTTCTATATGACTACTTGTTGGAATACAACTGCGAAAACCGCATTCAATTTGATGCAGTTGTTTTTGTGTGGTTCCGAAATAAATATGCAGACTGACAGATATAGATAGATTGACAGACAGAGAGATAAATAGGCAGACAAACAGTGACATAATTTTTTAAATTATTGTTTCGTATATATTGGTGTTACTAGGAGTTTTCGCATTATTTTTCTTTAAATATCTCCCATGTACAGACGTATTTAATTACAATTTTAGTCGTAGTTATATACAATTTTATTATATTAGTAAAATAAGATTATATTGGTCCTATTTCTATGGACAAGTGGCATTGTAAAATATAATATACATGTGTTGGATTGTTAGTATATATTTACTGGTATATGCATACAGTCCAACTTATGTATAATAACCTAGACGGAACTAGAATGTATTATCTTGTTATTGTTTACAGTTTTGCATTTCTATAATTAACAGATTGCGAAACGGAACCACTTGTGTTTTAAATTTTTCATAAATAACCATAACAATTACGCTTTTTCGTACGAACTTGTCCACTTTCATATCTAATTTGTATAAACGTTACGTGATTAATATTGTTTATATACATTATTGTTTATATGTATTAGTCCATATATGTTGCCATGCCATTGTTGTTGTGAATATCAATTTTAAAAGTTGTTTAGAAGTTTTGTCTTATTCCGTTTCTACCTTCTATGATGATGTGCCTGAGTGAATTCGGAACGAGGTACTAAGTATAAAGAAACAAGTAATTAATTCAAGTGACTCAAAGGATTTATTCGAATTTGCTCTGAATTCAAAGGTAACATTAAATGTAGACATATTTATTCAAATAAACCTTGTAAGGGATCTTTGCAACTTTGCAATAATTTGATTAATAGTTAAAAAGCTCTTTCATTGCAAATAGGAATTATTTATTATTTTATATCTTATAAGTATCTATCTGCTCCATAATTGTGCAAGAAAGTAATTTCGATTATACATAGACAATAGTAGTTTTTCATTTGTTATTGGCCTAGGAGCGTTAATAATTTTCAATATTTAAGGATTTTTTTCTAAAAAGTCGGCTATATTTCTTAGTAGTTATACGGTAGCAAAACGTACGCAAATACAAACTAGATCAAATCGGAAAAGCGTCAACAGCTGCCCTTGTATTCTATTTACCTCTAGTTGTCTCATATTGCGTTTGTGGAAGGAGTTGAAAGTCAGAGGTGCAATCAGATAGTTTGAATATCTTAAAATTATCATATATTGGAATGAAAATGATAATTATCTTTTTATCTCTTGTGTCTCGGTAATTTATTATCAGAAAATTTTCTACTGTAGTTAATCCGAGAACTAGATTTCGATAGCGGTAAATGTTGACAATCCATGACCTGCATTAAAACAATAGCACAAGAAGACCACCTACGATCATTCCACTTGTCTGTCGTAATTTATCCTATAAACGAAGTCATTTACTCTATTTCTGGCGTTTAAATTGACACATCGTGTATTCTAAACAAGAAATTGTCTGAGTTGAGATTTTTCTAAAGTTATATAAATTTTTACTAGCTATATCTCGCTAGAGTTGGCATGAAACTACTCTATATGTAAATCTAGGATGCTTTGTTTATAAAACTTCATTTAAATCCGGTCAACGGAAATGAATATTGAATAACGTGAATAAGTTAAAATGAGGAAAGAGATCGAAAGTAAGTAATGTTAAGAGCAATGTTGTATGTATATTAAGTGTAAAAAAAAAAGAAAAAAATTCAAATCTAAAAGCTTATACATACTTGTTCCTTTTATTAATATTCGACCCTTTTATATGTACCTTCCAAAATACATGTCGTTAAGAGTGTATTTTGGTAGAAACGTGGTGTGACACATAAGAAGAAAAATATACACCTGATCTGTTTCCGCTAATGAATGTTATGAAGTAATGATGAAAATGTTGGATGCGTAAGGATAGATTTTTCGATTTAAATTTTGGATTTCGAATTCTGAAATTTATTTGTTCTCTTAAATATATATCATATTTGATATCTAAAAATGTGGAGCGAAAAGTTAATTGCTTCTAAAATTTCACCAGGCGTTTTGGTATGTTTTGATGAAATATTTGTTTATGAATGTAGATTATCTTTCATTAATAACAGTTGTATTCGCGATCGATACTTCAAAGCTGTTTTTACCCTCTGGTGCAAGGGTGACAGGATCTTAGGGGACGCATCTATTTTATTTAATGTCAATTAATTTATAGTTCCTGGCGTACGCTGGATCAACAACGGCTTTGGATATCTCAGATCTCAATCCCATCGAAATATATGGTAGTATCCGGAAAAAGTGTTTATCACTTTGTGTGATATCGCATTTTTTGTATAGGTCTATATATCACTATTACCACCTATCTTTGGTTGTTTATAACTGGAGAGTAGTGGCAACTCAGTCAGAAATCGCTCGATTACGGACCGAGGGTCCCAAGATCGAATCCTAGCTTAAATATCAGAATGTTTCAAATTTACTCATTCACCAGAGGGTCTTTTTTATGAGTAGTTACTAATAAATAATTTGAGATAATTTATTATAAATAGATTAGGTACTGTAATAGCTTCGCAGACTGCGAACGAGATATATTTTCGTAAACAGTCTATAATGCGTAATTTTTGTGTGATATGGAATTCCACTACACGTATCTACATGACGGAAATTATGCAAGCCTGCCATAAAAACAAAAGTTCTAAAGTATATATTGTTACGACTATTCCAGTTTGATGTTACAGCAAAATTATTAAAAGGAGCAGTGTAAATATTGCAGTGGCATTTTATATTTAAATAACAGTAGGTACTATATAACAGTTTCATCAAATTAAAAATTTCATAAATTTTATAAGAAAGAAAGAAACTTATGGCTGAATATTTTAATCAGATAATATTTTCGATTTGGTTGTAATCTTTTTTGCAAGTTATGTGACGTGTTCGCGGATTCTGCATCATTCTGAATCTACTAATTTAATCTTGATAATTTTTTGTTTATTGATAATTTGAGTAGCTTGATATTCGACTTGTTTTTTCGGTAACTTTGTCATAGATAATATAATAGTATTGCCTGCTGATGGATAAAGCTGCCATTAGATCATATAGTATCTCTATATAATTTGTTTTTGGAGTATGCACGAGTAGTTGTTTTGATTCAATGATCTATAAAATATTATCTGATAATCAAAAATTACGTGATAACATTGAGAAGTGCCTGATAAAGGATGCATAATGTTTTATACAAGTGTCTAAAATAAAGAGCACTCTGAGGTGATTTTATGTACAAAAAAATTACAAAATACTATACTTTTTAAAATTTCCAGCATAAGTAATAGAGAAACTTAATCTTTGTCCCGTCATTAATCAACGAACTTAGAGGAATAATGAATAAGAAAGGGCAAGTTCGTTTCTTAAGTTGACCCGATGAAGTATTCAAATTTCTTAACGTGAAGCAGAATATGTGAAAGTGATTTTTTTATTTATTGACGTAGGCTATTTTTTGTTTTCTGGTTAATTAATGTAAACGTAAAATTAGTAGATCTACGTATCTATTATACTACCTTCTGCCTACGATATAGAAACATAAGCATCAAGTACGGGCAAGTTTCCTTTGCTACATATACTGTTGGTCGTTTTATTATTCCGTTAGCTTGTTTATTATTTATAAAAATCTGTAATTTGTAAGAGTTACTTTAATACAAATATATTTTTTATAAAATGTATTAATTCTAAATACGCGAGCTTTTTTATCATTTATAAAACGTTGCAAACGTTTACTTTGAAGTCCAGTTTGTAAGCGCTCCTGTTATTGAAACAGTATGCACAATGCCTTTATGAATATAAGTATTACTTGAAAAGTCCCACAAAGCACGTTCCGCCATTTAAACGCACGGTTTATACTGCCATGCTTTTGTAATGGCACTACATAAAATATTACTACAGAGTGAAGCACAAAATTTCATGAAGGAATTTCAGCGCATAACGTGCTGAAAAGGTCGCTTTACATATTCGTCGTACCAAATCTAATTAATATTAAACTTAGTATAGCTGATATTATTTATAATTATTAATTTAACACTTATATTGCGTATTTTTTATTATATTACACATAACAGTATGTGATGAAAAATATTAAAAAAAAATGTTTTTCTTATGCTAAAATTTTGAGAATATGTATGGATGTTAATTTGTTCACACGTACCTTCTATCTTATCGAAATATAAGTAGAATTATTTATTCTACGTGCTTTTTTTTTAAACGTGATATTTTCTTTTTATTTCATTATGTCTTTTAAATTCAATAAATTCTGCGTATATATAAGTAAATATTTTTGCCATCTAACTGCATCTCGTGACTACTCCGCACATATAACCTTTTAATGTAAGGTACATTGTAACATCTAAGTAGTTGTATTTTTATATTTGTTTTATTAGTTGTTTTAATTTATTAATTATTTTATGTTATAATTTCGTTTATTTATTTCTTTTTATTTTTTTTTTTTCAGAGGACCGTTGCCCAGCAACAGCATTATCCTGGTAAGCATATTCTTTTATTTTGATGAAATTTATCATTATAATCACCATAAATTATTTATTTTTAAAAAAGATTCAATTATAAATCATGACATACATGTGTATATAACCTGGTATGAACAACAATATATATCGTTTGAAAATTTGTAGTGTCAATAAAAAATAACATATTTAATGTGTATAAAATACACTATTTAATTCCTCGTAAATTGATGTAAACATGAAATTTGATATAGGTACAAAAGTTTTTGGGCATAAAAAATGTTCTACGTAGGTGTCAGTTTACAGAAATTTGATATTTCTAGTAAGATAGACGGCTAAATAGGGTTGTGTGAAGTTCAAACGCTAGGATATTATACGTAGAATATCTTTTAATATGTAGCCTTGAAGACCAATTATAAGGTGTCATTTAAATATATTTCACAATAGACTCGCCAGTATATAATTTCTAAAAATATTTACTAGTTTCGGTACTAAACAAAAGCAACTCAGTTGAACGTCCGATCGTCAGAGCCAGTAAGAAAAAGTATGAATAATAATTAGTAATTTGCACAATGTACCTATCTCTATTGCTCATCGTTTGTCACGTAGAGCGCATTTATCCACTGAAGCTGTTTATACACAGATTAGTGCATAAACTTGTCAATTAATGCATGAACTTGAAGTTGAGCCAATGATTAAATTATTTACAATCATGTTGCATACCAAGTTAGACCTTATTTTGAACTAGTTGAGCCTACGATGTTTGCTCGGCATTACGATATAGAACTTTTGTTTTGATAAATTATAAAATACTCTACCTAGGTACTGAATATAAGTGAAAAATAAATTTAAAAAACTATACTATAAACTTCTAAGTCGAAAGGTACTTTGATTTTTATAGAGAAATGTTTCTACAAAAATTACTGTACATCCCTAGCTAATATTCGCAATTTTCTTTTATACTATATTATTCTAAAAAAATCCAAAATATCGACAGTTGCTGCCCAGCCAAGCACGAACAGTGACGTAATTAGGCAAGTCATAAGTAAGTATTATAAAATTAATTACAATTTAAAATTTTATTAAGATATATTTAATGAATAAGGATTATTACAAACTTAACGATTACTTACAAGACAAACGTGCCTGGCTCCAAATGGTCATGCATGGGATATTTATTATCTATATTACAAATATGTAAGAATATATTTTGTTTGACATGCAACTTCATATAATAATTATAATAATGGACTTGATTCGTCTGATAATGTAAAATACTCTTGTTCTGTTTGCTAGTTTGTATTGTGACAAAAATTAATAATTGAGAAATTATTAATTTTTTGTTGAAATAAACAATAGTTAAGTTTCTTGCTTGTTCTTCTCAGCTGAAATTGTAATCCGAAGTTTACTTGAATAAAAAAATATTATTAATATTATTATGAGTTCGCCAAATTGTGAAACTCATTATGCCTTTTCTGAAGAACTTTATGTTAAAAAACATAAGTAACATAAGTTTTCGGGTTTGTTTTGTGTAATGATAAGTACAATAAACTGTTCAGTTGCGAGTTGAACTCACACGCCTAGGGTTCCGTACATATATAATAAAAGTAACCTTTATTGTTATTCTTGTGTATGAAATAGATGAATTAATCTTTTCAAGAACGACGCTAGTTATATACAGGTATATATTATCAACTAATTATTTTAGATTTTTCGTTTCATTTACTTCGGAGATAAAGGTGAATGGCTTTTTTTCTCACATTTTCGAGCATCAGTTAAAAACTATGTATTATTATTATTTTCCTGTCCTTGTCACAACTATTCGGTGTAATATGTTTTTATCCATATTACCCAAAGTTTTGGCTTTTAGTTTTACGATCTGTTTGCCGCCTGTTTTCGCCATTTACGGTATGGAAGAAAGAAATGAGGAAAAATTAGGGGACTTTGAAGTGAGTAAAAGAAGTTATTAAAAAAGAAATGAAGGATTTATTGAAAAGAGGAAAGGGGGACACTGCAGTTGGAGAGGGGATATTAGTCAAAAACTGCAGTAGTTCGGGAGGCCGGGATCTCATACCATAGTAAGAGTAAAAATTACCCTTACTCTAGAATCGGACAGATCATTAAAAGAGAACACTTCTGGTAATAAAAATTTTATAAACAAAAAAAAAAACAATAAAAGTCAGTTTTAAAATGTAAAAATGAAGCCCTTTCATATAATATCACGCTTGAACTAGTAGATCCATTTTGAAATTTTAAGTACCTTTTTTGGACGCCTTGGTAAAGAAAATAAAAATATAATTTTCCAACAAAATTTAATACTATTCCAAATCTATAATCGATAGTATTAGTAGTTGTTAAGATATAACGCTTTGACAAACGGATGGACGGACGGATGGGTGGACATAGTCGAGCCATAATCCTTTGTACCTTTTAGGTATGGAATCTTGGTTTTTATCCTCTTAGCTGTATTATTAAGTATCTACAAAATTTTTTTTTAGAAAAAAATAGTTTTTGTTGTTAGGTACTTCCATTTACGGTTATTCGATCATTGAACTAAGGTCAGACAGAAATTCTATAGAAAGAACAATATGACTTGTAACTTTATGACATTGAGTTAACACACGCAGTAAAACTGTCGTCTTAAGTAGTTATTATCGACTATCTGTACCCTGCGTCTTTGTCTGTGTTGCGTGAATAGGGATAAGTATCCTTTCTATATATAAATATTCCTTCAAATCCAGTTTCACCCGCGCGATTAAGTAATGAACCAAACTTAACAAACTTACATTTTAATACTAGTTGGATTTCAGTTTGATATAGGTATATATAGGAAAAAGGTGGATAACTTAATAAGAAATATTGTTTTGACCTCTTTTAAACTCACTCGAAGTTAAGGACTGTAGTTGTTCGATATTTTACAAAATAATATATTGATGATTGTTAGACACGTATTTCATATACTTGTACATCGTTTTACCATTGGACACGAGTTATCTCTTATGGGTTTTTTGCCTATAAAATAAATATAGCCTATTTTAAGTAACGACATATTGTATTCCGTTAACGTAAATAGATATAACAGTATTAAACAAGGTGCCTTCAGCACCGGCCCTAGCCCTTGATCAGGATAGAGTGAGATTGTCTTTTTTCGCCTTGTAGATACGCTTTCACTTAACGTAAATTCTACTTTGGTGCCATCATAATTTTATTTTGCGCTGGCAATTGTTTTTGCGTTTGGCTTTTTGTCGTTCTTTGCTATCGGGCTCCTAGAATGATCGTTCCTCTCGCTCTACCCCAGGGCTGGCTATGGGCGCTTTTAATAAGGAAGAGATTTACAATTTAATGATATTTTTTTATTACGTGAAATTTTCCCCGGAACTGATTTTAAAACTCTTTTTGCACTCCACAAGGTTTACTCGTTATGTAAATTTGTGACGATTGAAGTCATTGATTTTGATACATGGAATAAAATATTAATATAATCCGTAAAAGCAGTAAAACGTTGTTGAATAATACAATACATTATCTTCTGTTCGTCTCACCGCGTCTTATATTTGACTTGACTGAGTCATACTAAAGTGATTTGACACGTTTTAATCGTAACAGTAGTGACGGCAGTGTATAGACTAAATACAATTAACTCAGTGTTACTATTTACTTAGTAATGGTTGTTCGTGTCAACGTATGTTTCTAATTGATGATTGCATGATAGTTAGATTACATGTTATTATTATTACTTGTTATTGAAGGATATTTTATATTTGTCTTTTAATAAGTTTAAACTTTCACCAAGAAATACTTGAGCAAAATATATAACGCGCTAAACAATTTCTTTGATAACAAACAACAATTTTGTGCTAGTTAATCATGCACATATTTACAAATGTAGTCATTATGTTATAATATACTTCCAAGTATATAAATGTTAGTTTATAGATTGAATTATTAATAGAACAGCTATTGAACTCTACTACTTATTGATTTAGAATTGCGTTCGAACTAGACCGTCGCTTAAAAAATTTGACGTACGTAAGTGATAAAAAATATCCTGTATGAATAAATTTTCGCTTTTGATATTTTTGACGGCGGAATAAAAAAGGCAAGGGTCGCTAAGTTAGTAGATGCAGGAGTATTTCATAGTTATAAGCAGAAATGTCTATATAAACGAAATCATGAAAAAATGGTTGAACGTAATTTTAATGAAATTATATACGATATATACTCGTAACTTGGGTGATTTTCAACTAGTGCGATTCAACTGTTTTTTACAAAGCACAGTTGAGTTAAAAGATCCACCGAATTTTTCTAGTCTCCAAATAAGCCGATATATCTAAAATATAGAAGGAATCGTTTTATAAAATACTTTTTAGGGACATCAACTTATCTGAATTAAAACAAAAAAAAAAAAAATACCGCAATTAGATATTGCATTTGCTGAAAACCAGCCATTGGAAAATTGGTGCATATTTATTTCTAAACTAACTTATAACTGGCCTCTCCCTTGTAGGCGGTCGCATAGAATGTCAAGTGATTTTTTTTTTGCAAATTGTCATCTTTTTATAAAATCCCATAGATGGAACTCTATTAAGTATTAAAATTCAAATAGTAAAATTATGTATGAAATCACGGAATCAACTGGTATTTAGATACCAGTTGTTTCCGTGATTTATTAATACATTTATTATTATTTAATAAAATTATTTTAATAAATTTATTTAATTAAAACCGTTACCCTGCAAATGTCGAATTATACTATTGTGGTATACAATGACTATCATTAGACTTAGTCTCACATAGATTATGAATTTGTATATTTCATGTAAGGAAATTATATACTTCTTGTAAAGAAAATAGGAATTCTTTAATTATATTACACTAGTTTTATATTTTATGATCTCATTAATTTTATTCTTGGGCAAACAAGCGATCATCACTTTTTGTTGTAATTAAAAAGTTCCTAAAGATTAATTACTTTGCTATTCTTTGATGGAATTCAGCATTGTTTGATGGAATTCAACATTTAAATGGATGAGACTTTTTATGAAAATTATCCGGAAATGTTTTTTATAAAGCGACAGAGATTTTCTTTGAAAGAAGATTATTTTGATTACTTTTTTTGTAATATAACCTCCGAATTACTTAAGAACTAGCTTTGCCCGTGACATCGGAATATTTCATTTAATAGATGAAAATGAAATAGTAACGCGGTATAAGATGGTAGAGCTAAGATAGCGTTAACGTAGGTGTGGTTACCATTCCGTTATCTTTCATAAAATAAAAATGGGATATATTTGCTAGCACTGTTGTCTACATTTAGGCTGTTAGCCCATAATATTATGAGTAACAATTCCTTTCCGTCCATTGGAATATGTTGATTTACTGTGATAAGAAATAGCGTATGTCTTTAGATTTTAGCTCTTAAATTATCCACATTAGTTGAATCTTGTTTATCAGGCAGGAACTGAGCGTAAATGAAAGTTCCTTGCGTTGGAATAAACGTCTTACTCCTGTTTCTGTCCTCAAACAATTATGCTTGCATTGCTATATTTCGATTTGAAAACCAAGATATAGCAGCGAAATCACGGATTTGCGTCTATAAATCTTATGAAGGGGACCGAACTTTGTATGACAGCTGGCTTGTATAATTGTTGAGCAGATCGAATTCTCTGACAGTAGGTAGAGTTAGTTTTGATATAACATGAAACTCAGTTTGATTGAAATAGTATAGCATTAGGAAATATGCCATCCAAAAATTATAATGTTGTAAATTTAATAACGTGTTATTTAGTGTTAGACTCAAATCATCAGCAGACAGTAGTCCATTGCTGAATATAGGCCTCTCCCAAAGCGTGCCACTTTATACGCTATTGTACTTTACGCATCCAATCATTAGCAATTACATTAATTATCAAAACGTTTTATAGTCACTCAGTATAATGACTAGATTAGATACTATGATAAATAATAAATGTTAAATACTTATTAATGATATATTCCGCTGTAGCGTTGCCCGGGCATTTTAATTTTAGATAGAATTCATATGTA